CAGTGGTAAAATAGAGAGGCAGAGAGGGAAATAAAGTTTAGGATGCTCCCAGATAAACTTTTATCTTCACACAGAAGCCAGAAGCAGCTCATGATATTTCCTATCTGTGACATCTTTGCTCTGATGGAAGTTTGAAAGTTTATCCTACACAGTTTCTAAATCTGTGTTAGGATTATTGCTCCATCACTCCAAGCAATCTAACATTTTCTTAGCGATATAACTGTGAAGTTTGAGAAGGTATATCGCCACAACAAGCAGGACAGAAAATGTTTTAGGCACTCGCTGTGAGTCAAGCTGCGAACACTGACCCCCAGAGATAGGAAAGGATACAGTGGCTTGCAAAAGTATTGGGCCCCCTTGAACTTTCCCACATTTTGTCACATTACAGCCACAAACATGAATCAGTTTTATTGGAATTCCACGTGAAAGACCAACACAAAGTGGTGCACACGTGAGAAGTGGAACGAAAATCAGACATGATTCCAAACATTTTTTACAAATAAATAACTGAAAAGTGGGGTTCTTCCACATGACAATCACTGACTTCAGAAGAAGATGAAGAGGAGGAGGAAGGTTCATTACCCTCTGAACAGCTGTTTCACATGGATCAGATTAAAGCCGTCCTCCCCAGTCTCATAAATCAGGTGCCATAACCTCCTTTTTGACACAGAGTGTGTCGTATGTTTTGTCTTTAATAGCTTTGTTGTATGAAATGTTCTTTCGTGGTCGCTGGATTTCAACAGTATTATGCTGCATATATTATTTCCAGTCATTCTATCTGTGATGGCAGTCACATCTGTGTCCACTACATTTCCAGTGATGGAGCTGCTCTGTGGTGCAGAAGGAGATTGCTACAGGATTTCCTCTCAGCTAGCACCTGCTTGCAGGATTAGACAAACCCACATTTAGAGCATTTGGTGACTCTGAATGACTTTCCTGTTGGAGATGTTCCCTATAAAACTCTTTTTGTTTTTGTGTTTTGTTTTTTTTTTTTTTTTTTTTTTTGGGGGGGGGGGGGGGGGGGGGGGGAGGTTGTATAAAAGAAAAGACAACAACAACAACAACAACAATAAAACTCTGGCTGAAATTATTTCAGCGCAATCAATCCAACATTTGTGTAATCTTTAAACGAACAGCATCTTTTCATTCCTTCAGACTGATCGGTACTATGGGCAACACTTTTCAGATTGTGTTCACCTCAGTTGTGTGTGTGAGGGTACACAACTCGGCTGACAGCATCCCCACGCTGTAAGTCTAATTGAGCCTCACTGAGACCTGTGTGTATGTGTGTGGATCCCCACAGAGGTGGGCCTGATTTTCTTTGATAGCACATAGTGCAGATTACTGAAAGACACTGATGAATACAGGACACACACACAGCTGAGAGATGAGGTTTTCTATGTGTTTACACAGCCAGTGTTCCTCTCAGACGTCCCAAAGCAGCTCAAATGATTTTCCCCTTTATGAATTCCTATATTTGGCTGCTCGGGCTTCACACTAGGGCTTATTTTTTATTACGTTTTGTTTGCCATAAAACACTCTGATCAGACTCTTTTAGGACCGTCTGCTCCAGAGTCTCGGACTCGTTTTACTGCACAGGTCATTTTTAATATGTCAGTTTATTTGGGTTACTGCAAATGTGCCAAGAATGACAAATACTTTCCGAATGATTTCTGCTATTTTTGCCTCGTGTTGTGTCTTGCTTTTGTGTTGAATAATTGCATTAAACCCTTCATCAGTGCACTCTACACTGTCACCAAAAAGAGTGAATTTAGAATTGACTGAAATTAGCTACAGAGCATATTTGTGACTCTTAAAAGGTGACGTTGAGTGTTGGCAATATAAGTGGTAATTTTGACATTCAGCACCACCAGCACTGCTGGATTAGTTGTATTGTTTACTCCTTATGCACAATGCTGATGGCAGGTGGGAGAAGACTAAATATTTCCTTCCATCCTTAGACACACTACAGGGAAGCTGACACGCTGAGGCTGTTTTTATTTTTAACATACTAGCATTGTAGTATTGGAGTAATTAAGGTAATATATCACATCATTTGATGCCACAAGAGATGGAAATAAGTGCACTATAAATCCTTTCAAGCTTGTTGACCACTTCAAAAGAAGCCTTATTGAGTTTTTTTGGGAGTAATTCATTCGAAATCATCTTTTGAGTATTGAAAATGGAAAACCAGCCAAGTTAAGCTCCTCAAAGTTGAAATAATGCATTAAATAAACTTCAAATATAAAGCTCAGTGAGACCCTGGTATTTTAATAGTCTCAGCAGAAACAGCTGTGAGAATGTTCAAATTCTAAATAATAATCTGACTCCTTTGCTAAAGGCATTAAAAGGTTTAGCACCCCTTGATTAAATTATTATTGTTGTTGTACTTTAAGGCATTTCATTTGAAGTTTGTTTTACGCAGCCTGATTACAAATGTCCACTACTCCCTACTGTGTTTGCACTGTTTTAATCTAATGATATATGGGTCTTTCATTGCCAGCATCTTTTGCAGCATTTTTTGCAGAACCTTTTGGTTAAAACAGGTGGGCTTTTTGTTTGTTCATCTTAAACTAAAAATCAGGTTAACCCTTTAAAACCGGTCAGAGCAGCACGCTCCGTTTTGCGCAACTACTTTTAAATCCTAGCACTGCAACCACGTAAGCTAGCGCAATAATTTTTTTTGCATATGAAACCGGAGGAGTTGTGCTTACATCTTATGCCATCAGCTTGTCCTAGGCCACGGTTTCCTTCCACATATAGCTTTGCAAAAACTGCATAAAAAGCACTTGCAGCAACAAAAACACAATATTCCAGAAACACGTTTTGCCGATCCGATCAGCTGTTCGTAACACTTTCTACGGCAGCATGAACTATCGCATGTCTGCCATTGGCTGTATCCCAATTCAGGGTCTGCAGCCTTAAAGGCCGCATTTCAAGGCCGATTACGTCACAGCGGCGCGCCGAAGGCTGTCCCAATTCAAAGGCTGCTCGAAATGCGGCCCTGAAATGCGTCCTTCATTTCCCTGAATTTTAAGGCTGTGGCAGTGTAGACTTCAAGGCCCAACATATCCCAGAATGCATAGCGCGGCGATGGGTGTGGATAAATTTGCAGAAAAAAACGGCGGATGAGGGGCGACCGAAGAGTGAACTTTAAGTACTGAATATTATGTCACTCATTTATGTGCAAATGTTTAATAACGAAGAACATTAAAACATTACTGTTGGCCACATGTTGGCAAAGTCATGTGACATTAGTGACGTTTGTACTAACTTGGTTTTAAAGCCTTTACTTTAAAATATACGCCGTTCAATAGCTGAGCTTAATCTTACAGAGAATGATCAAAGCTCATGTGGAAACAAACAAACAAATGAACAAAACATTTTCTCCTTCATTCCTGTCAAACAAAGCTATGACACGTTTCCAGCTGTTAGTATCATGGTTGCTAGGCAACCTGGGCAGCGCAACGGAGGCTTTTTAAAAAAAATTTTTTTTAACTTTATTGACAAACTACAGTATCAGCACAACGGAGGCTAGACCGTCCCTTACACAAGCCTCGCACTTCCGGCCTTAGCGGTCTTTGAGTACGCGGCCCTTGAGAATCGTTGAGGCTGCGTACTTTAAGGCTGCAGACCCTGAATTGGGATACAGCCAGTACCTGCCTGAAACCGGAAGTGACGACATTGTCGCGGAAATGTAGTTTTTTACCATCAGCGCCTTATGAGCCTATACTGGTGTTTTTAAAAGTTATGTTTGACTTTATGACTTTCTGTGTCGTTTCTGGGATGCTTAGAAGTCAAATTGCACTGCTGGAAATAGTTTATTTTGATGCATGTGCTGTTTTTTTGCAAATTTGCATTATAATATTTATTTTCATTTTTCCTGCAGTATATAAAAATTGGTGTGTTTAAAAAATAAAACTATGAAGACACTCAAAATAAATTTCCTGTGGTGGGAAACTATTTTGTGCAACTTTTTTGTATTTACAGTTTTGAGGGATAAGCCTCTTAAATTTCTCTAACTAGAAATATATGTTAAAAAAACAAAAGTGATTTTCAATTTTTTTGTAGTTTATTGCACTTTCTTGCAATTTATGTAATTTCTTTGCACTTAATGCATACATATTATTAAAATTTGGGCTATAACAGTTGTATTGATGTATAGCAACTTGAAATGCTCCCAAAAATTGCACTACAGCATGTAAAAATATAATATAAGCTCTGGCGGACTTGGTTCTATGGTCTTAAAGGGTTAATAAACTAAAGCAGTAGGTACACCAAGGAAAGCAGATGCAGTCTTGAAAGCCAAAACATGTTTTTGATTTATGCGACATGTGAGATTATTACATTTATGGACCGCAAACTTTAAAAAACCAAAAGCAGCTGCCAGAGTTTACTTCCTACATATCTGCATTCAGTCTTGACTCAAAAGATATTGATTCATCAAAACATCTGGATGTCAGTGACGCATATACATACCATTGTGTGTGGAATAGGGATGTTATTCAAGGATAACCATGATATTTAAAAATAACCCCAAGTCAATAAAGCACATATGATAACAAGGTAAGTAACTGCATTATTGTTGTTTTTGTGTGCGTTCGTATATTTATGATTTCAGAGACATTAACTCTGTAACTTATATTTTGAGTTTAATTGATTTGCCAAAAAAATGTAGCACATGATAAAAAAGTTAGATATACGTTTTCCTGATAGTGGTATAGCTGTTATTTCTCTTTTCAGATAATCCATAGATACTGTAATATTTCATTCTCTTTTTCCTCTCAATATGAACATCGACCTTTTTTGGTACCTTTAATAGACCTCTGAAATCTGTACATGCATGTCAACAAATGATAACTAAAAGAGGTTAGTATAATTCTGTAATCAGATATACCAGGCGCAAAAAAATATCAGGATTTTTGTGCTTTTTCAGACAAAGGTTTTAACTGTAGCTAAGCACAGTTAAAACACTGAAGCTGCCGGTGTGCCTCACTCACCTCTCTCCACTCCTTTGTCCCCAGGCCTTGAACGTACAACACCACCACTGAAAAGAAAAACACAGATGCACGCCTTAAATTTATTTTTGCACCTTTCAAGACTAATGGATATCTCAAAATCAGTAGACGTAAACGCAGGAAATCGCTGTTATCTAAAGATGTAAAAAAATATATATATATAAAAATGTTCGTTTAAAGTAATATTTGAAAATAATCTTTTTAAAACTGTAAGTCACGTTTCTTTCTCATACAGTATTACTTTTGTAACAAAAAGCTTGCGTTCCATTTTCAGTCATTTTAAGGCTCAGCGAGCAGGGCTTCGTCTTGCCACTGGCTTTCTTCGGATACCAAAACTTGCCAAACAGCTCAGACTGTGTTGAAATTTTCTCCAAATGATGAGCTGAAGGGAGGCTCCTAACCTGCTCACTGGCTGGGTCTTCTCAACACAGTAAAAGAGTAAAACACTAAAAAGATTTTATTAACAAAACAAACACAATGGATCAGTTTATTTAACCGATGCGAATGACAGAGAAGTGTTCACATACACCACATTTGTTTTCACCCAAGCTCAAGGTGCATGCCACCAGAGACAAAGAGAAATGAAGCAGCTGCCCTGGCACTCACAGCGCCCTTTCTGGCCCACAATGAGAGGGACAGGCTGTTTTTTCCATCCCCTTTCCATCTATTGATATGTCATTATCTCTTTCCCTCTCTGCTTAGACTATATAATGAGGAAGTAGGAAGTGCCACACATCACATTTCTACTGTGAGCCTCCACCTTTCAACAGTGTCCACGCACTGCTCCCCCCCTCGATGCCACAGAGAGAGCGCTGTTGGAGAAGGAAATGACCTCAATCCTGAGGAAGGAAGAAATAACAGTCCCTCAGTTGGAGTTACCGAAGGGTTTCATCTCAGGTGTTTGCAGCAGTGAAAGCAATTGTGTTGGATTAGGGTTCAACACCAGCAAAAATCTTGCCAAATACATCTGAGCTTGTATAGTCCAGTAATAAATGAATAAATGTATCTTTGACTACTCTCCTTTCTTCATTTCTCTCTCCTTCCCCTCATCATCCTCCTTTATGTAGATATTTTCTTTGAAATCTGTCTTTGCTTTTTCTCTTCTGTCCTTTCCACTTTTTCTTCTACATTTCTCCTTTTGCTACCAAATCAGTTTCTTCTCCTTTTCCCTGTGGTCTCTTTTTGTTAAAGTCCTCCTTCCATTTACTGATTTTCCATTTCTCCTTCCCCCTTTCCTCCTCTTTCTCTCATTCCCTCCTATGTCCTTTCTTTCCTCCCCCTCTGTGCCTCCCCTGTCCTGTGGTTCTACTCTTCCCTACTCTCCATTTTACTTCACTTCTTCTCCTCCACTCCTCTCCCCAGCCTCTCTTCTTTTCTTCTCTCTTCCACTTAAAAGCAGGTCATGGTAACAGCAGGCCATGTATAGAAATCATCATGTTTCTGCTTCAGTGGGACAGGAGGCCAGTCAACCACAACCCAGTCAGTGTTGGAAACCATACATCCCCATTCTCTCTGCTTTTCTCTCCAAAGGGAAATGCAGATGAAACAAGGGAAGCAAAACAGTGTTAACTGATAAAGATCGAAATGGTAAGCAAGAGGCAGAGAGTTTAGGGATGGTTGGCTAAGTGATTCATATATGGACACTCACCTGTCTGAAAGAGGTGTGGTAAGACAGAAAACGTGAGTAAGAGTAAAATGGAGACAGAGAACAACATAAGCAAGCTTGCTGATGATGATCCACATTCATGTACACAATGCATGTTCTTGATTTAGGGCAGCAATTCTAAAATGTTTGCACTGGGAGTCTGAGACTAGCTGCCTGACCTCTGAAGGAGCTCAGGACAGGCAAACATGGAAGTGTAATTTTACTGGACTGTTTCAGCCTTTGTGTTTATCGTTTGTCTCCAGCCTAATGTTGTGATTCTGAAATCACATCAAGTGTCCAAGAATCTGGTATCATAAATTTTTGTCTGCAGAGCAAATTTTCTACACAAATCTAAAATGAAAAGTACCACTGGCTTATTTTTTAGTCTGGAGCTCCATGCAAAATTTCAGAAAGACGAAGACACTGGATCAGCCCAAACTACACGGAAGGAAGCTTCTTAATGATTTGATGGCAATTACAATCACCAACTGCACTATTGTTAACACACTACACCATAACTAATTAAAATCTTGCAGCACTTGCAAGGTCCCCCTGCTCAACAACATAGACCTACAGGCCCATTTTGCCAGTGAACATGATTCAGAGAAGGGTGGGGAAAACATGCTTTGGTCAAATCAAAACAAAGCTGAGCACTCATCAACCCATATTTAGCCCGAGGCCGAATTTAGTCAAGTTTTGCTCAAACACTTATTTCACTCAAATCTTTTTATAACTGTTTTAGGGATTTTTTTCTGGATATTTGGTTGATATTCTGTCTTTCTATTGAAATGAAACTACTATAATAATTAAAAAATATCATTTGTCTGGAAGTGAGCAAATTTACAAATTCAGTAGCTCAAATTTCAATTCAGTTCAGTTCAATGCAATTTAATTTATACATCACTAAATCACAATAACAGTCACCTCAAGGTTCTTTATGTTTTAAGGTAGACCTACAATAATACATTCAGAGAAAAACCCAACAATCATATGACCCCCTATGAGCAAGCACTTTGGTGACATTGGGAAGGAAAAACTCCCTTTTAACAGGAAGAAACCTCTGGCAGAACCAGGCTCAGGGAGGGGCGAGGCTATCTGCTGCCACCATTTGGGGTGAGAGAAGGAAGACAGGATAAAGACATGCTGCGGATGAAATAGTTGTTTCTCCTGCTGCACTGGAGTATTTCTACAAATGTGAAGCCACAGTCATTCACACTGAAATGAGAATTGTCCCATTTTTTTCTACAGTAAAAAGCACTTTGGGGTCCTTAGGGACTAGTAAAGCACTATACAAATACAGGCCAGGCCATTTTAATCTTTCAAAGATGTGTCCTAAGAAAATGCATTTCTATGCAACTGAGTCATCTGACCAATTACATTTATTGGCTGAGTAATCAATGGTTGGATTACATTCAGAAAAATACTATAAAAAATACGATATCTTACTTGTGATTACTGTCATTAATTTTTGTCCAAGCATGGACAGCATGGTAGCATAACTGTTAGCACTGTCCCAGATTTGAAACCTGGCTTGAGCCCTTCTCTCTTTCCTGTGCCTGCATGTTTTCCATGTATTCAGGCTTCCTCCCTCAGTCCAAAGGCATACATGTTGACTGGTGTTTCCAATGTGGCTACTTGTAGCACTATATGAATGTTTGGTTAAAAATGTTGCTTGAGTTGTCAGTAAGATGTTTATAGTCTATAAACAGGAAATTTCACCTGTTACATGCAAAATTTCGTTCTAATTATTTATGGATGAGGAACTAGCTGTTTACTCGCAGCCACTCAGAAGCATTAAAATATATTAGTAGTTCAAGTGTGGATTAGGTTCAATCATTTCATCACTAGCTGCCAGTGCTTTGTGACATTATGAGTCTACACTGACCTGCACTGTCCTTTTGTGGTTTGAGGACCGGGTCAGATAGAGGGATCTAACCAGGGACATGAAAGAGCTGAGGGGGCATTGTGGTCTGTCAGTCTAGCTTTTCCTCAGTGGGGAGGAAGAGTTTGAAGTTCAGGACCCCGTCTGACACAATCATTACCTTCCAGCACGACCCTCCACCCCCACCCAGCACAGGAGCAAAGACTAATCTATGGGTTGTGTCAGTAAAGGAGCCCTGGCCTGCGGAGAGACCGTATTTGATTCTTTGCCTTCAAAATCAGTGTCGTTCAGTACAATAATATACACTGTGGTTACACATCATAATGTAAATGATTAGTCAATGGATAGTACCTTTAACTGATGATTTCAACATTAAAACAATGACATAAAGATTCTGTCAATTATCCCATTTATATGTTGCTTCTCAATTCATGCATTATAATAAATCCTCCCTGCAACCTTTTTTCTGCCTTCCTCTCACTGACTTTCTAAAATGATACACGAGACAAATGCTCAGCCTGTTCAGAACAGTTGATCCCAGATGACATTTAAATTTTCTTTCTTGCATATGAATCAACATTTAGCACAAATCAAAGAGTTTACCTGAGGTTCTTTGGCTTCATGGAGCTTTGTGGTAATTACTGAGTCTAAACAAGATGGGAAAAATTCTCTAATCTGTGTTGATGAAAGAGATCCAAATCTACAATCTCACATTAGATAATTAAGCTTCTATCGTTAGGGAACAGTGAGACTGCTCTGGTACTGTCAGGTTGCATGTAAACACAACACTTCGCAGTCTTAGGAGATGTTACATCAAACAAACCTCAACTGAAAGCTACAAAATTTCATATAACAAGGAAGAAGCACTAAAAGTTGATTTTATCTTAAAAGTGCCAAAAGGAATGTCCACTAAGGCAGTTTGAGCTGTTCCACTGTTAATTTGAGGAAGAGGGTGCACATCAGTGCTTCATTATTTCTCTTGATTAACATATTGTATCTATAGGACACAGTCAACAGGGTCTGCTCAGCAATCTCAACTATATGATTGGCTGTAGCTCAGGTGGCAGAGCAGGTCAGCCACTAATCAGAAGGTCGGTGGTTCGATCCCAGGATGCCTCCTGACTGTATGCCAAATATCCTTGGGCAAGATACTAACCCCATGTTTTCCTACTGGTGGTGGTCAGAGGGCCCGGTGGCGCCAGTGTCCGGCAGCCTCGCCTCTGTCAGTGCGCCCCAGGGTGGCTGTGGCTACAATGTAGCTGCCATCACCAGTGTGTGAATGTGTGTGTGAATGGGTGGATCACTGGATGTAGTGTGAAGTGCTTTGGGGTCCTTAGGGACTAGAAAAGCGCTATACAAATGCAGGCCATTTACCATATGATTTGGCTAGTCAGACAAATTGACAGCATATGTTTTCAAGCAATGATGCAAGGTTGGAAAAAGTGAAGAATTCTCTGCAATACTGCAGTTCTTCCCGTAAGCTAACGATTTCAGATTCAACATGAGTGAAAGAAAACTGTACCCCGCCTCTCGCCCTATGACAGCTGGGATAGGCTCCAGCACCCCCGCTATGCTATGACCCTCCACATGAAGTAGGATTCCCAATGGACCCACAATATACTACCAGAATCCATCCAAATCACTGAATTCAGGTGCTTTCCAATTACTTTTATGGCCACAGGTGTATAAATTAACCCAGGCCCGCAGACTGCTGCTTCTACAAACATTTGTGAAAGATTGGGTCACCCTCGGGAACTCAGTGCGGTACCTTGATGGGATGCCAACAACTCAGCTCTTCTCTTCTCTCCTCCATAGTTTTGTTTTTATCTTGGTCTCACTGTCCTCTCATTTTTCCTTTTCTCTTTCCCTTCATCCCTCAGCTTCCTCACTGAGCCTGGTTCTGGCAGAGGTATATTCCCGTTAAAAGGAACTTCCTTCCCACTGTCGTCAAGTACTGTTGGGGTTTTTCCTCCAGTATCGTAGGGTCCTTGCTTTTCATGTGCTCTGAGGTTGTGAAGTGGCACTAAATAAATAAAACTGAATTGAACTGAATTTAATTATTTCTCTCTTAGATTCAACAACAGAAGTGAGTGGAACTCTCACAGGAGGAAAAACTAATAACACTCAAAATTTCTCTGTTTTAATAAAAATGTTATGCTTCAACCCATGTTTGATTGAAAGGCCACTTATTGGTTTAATCCAATCAACAGCAAGTAGTGATTGTTTGTTGTTGGGGTTTTTTGGCAACTTAATAAGCCAAGTTGTTTTTCCTTGTGTCCTCTTCAGTCTGATGAGTCATCAGCCATAACACTTCAATGCAACTGACAATAAAAAATGATATTACGAAATATGTCGTCTGCGTCTTTTGACTCCAAGGTTCGTTTTTGTCTTACATGCTGCATCTCGTCAGCACTTTTCTTCTCTCCTTCCAAGCCTTTGAAATTGATTTTCTACTCAACTGTTGCTCAGTATAGCCTTGCTTTTTCTATCACCTTTTTCCCTGTTTTGTTCTTGACAACTCAAGTAAAGATGAAACATTGACTCGTGAATAAGAGTCCTGTCTGCTTTTTTTTCTGAATGGTCAGAGTGGTTGTATTGATGGTTGAGATTTATGATTTTCATTTATACCCTAACAGAAAGAAAACATAGCATCTACAACTTACGTAATTATTGCTTATGTTTATTTTATTTCATTATTATTTGATCGGATGGTTGGTGGTTCGATCCCTGGCTCCTCCAGTCTGCATGCCAAGTATCCTTGGGCAAGATACTAACTCCAAGTTGATCTCCAATGCATCCATCAGCGTATGAATGTTAGTTAGTAAGCACTTAAAAGCACAGAAGGAAGAGACTGGGTGTGATTGGTTGAATGTGGCATGTTGTAATATATATAATATATATAAGAATCAGTCCATTTACCAAAGCAAAGATATATAAGGAACGTGTAATAGCTGATTACACTCATCAGACAAATATTTGTATGATGTTGTCAAAGCTAGTCTAACATTTAACCATGTGCTTGGCTGTAGTTTACTAATGCATGCAGATCTGTGTTTATAAGTCATCAGTCTTTCATTAGGCTGTACTGCATACTGCGTACACTGCCTGTTTACTGAAACATGTTCCAGTTATAGTTATATTATGGACATAATGTGCAGACTCTCAACTTTCATTTGAGGGGATCCACATTCAAACTGGATGAAGGGTTTAGGAGTTTCAGCTACTTAACATGTGCCACCCTCTTTTTTAAAGGGAACAAAAGTAATTGGACAGTTTACTCACAGACAGGTGTGGGCAATTTCTTCATTATGTCAAGACTGTAGATGTTGTGAATATTATCAGTTAAGCAGATAAAAGACCTGCGGTCTTTGAACAGACAACATGCGGTCAAACAAGCTTTCTTTGAACAAATGAAACCAGGACCAACCTCTACCAGCATGATGGCAAGAAAAAAGTTACAAGCTACGTGTGTCTGCATAGAAAACAGTCAGGATCTCTTTATTTTTGACTGTAAACTCCATAATCAAAGAATGATGTAGCATCCAGGTCTAAAAAGTAAAATGTGTGCCTTAAACGTGACTTCTCTGGGTGCAGGACTTTAGATTTTATGGAAGTTGATAGGAAACTATGTTTATTTGGTAAACTGTGGTCATTACTATTAAACTAGGGAACGCTCAAGCTTCTGACTTGAGTGACTGACTTAAACAATGATTGAAAAGGTGCATTGACAGATAAGCAGATCCAGTGAAGCCTTTCATTTTCAATTAGTTTTTTGGCATTTGTGCATTTTGCTTTTTTTCCTCCATTCTTTTGTTACATTAAGTTGCAGATGCAGCTGCTGTTTCTAAAAGTTACTATAATATAATCACATTCAATGTGTGGGCCCAGCAACTGCAAAGTGTCAATCAGGCTCCAATGATTAGTCACTCTTAATGAGGACCAACTTAATTAAGAGTCCTTCCCATTCGATCCCAAGATGCAGGTTTTCATTCAGTCAGTTGCTATTCTGCGTGTGTAAGCGCTGTGGGAGACAGTCACTGTGTTACTGCTCACTGATGCTCTAAGTGTGGAATTAACATGCAAAAGGTAGTGATTTAATAAACACTGCACGAGACAGAAGAGTTCCAAGCAGAGAATACAAAATCATATCAGAGGAGTAATTACACAGATGAATGATGAATGTGAAGAATCAGTGTGAGAGAGGAGGCAGTTACCTGGATCTGACTTGGAGAAGGTGTCCATGTCTAACAGGTTCCTGCAACAAAAACGTGTGTAAGACAGAAGCATCACAGTGCTGCAAGGCCAAATGGTTCATGGTAAGTTTAACAGCATGACAAAATATTTCATGTGTTCATAGTCGTGTTCTAAAAAGCATTAAGGCTGTCCTTTCTTTCAAACTCTCTCTCAGCACTGTAAAAAGGACGGCTCTTACAACAGAAGCAGAGTGCACTCTGTGTACTGTATATATGTGCAGTCGTATGTTAGTATCACCTTTTAGAGAACTCTGCTTTCAAGAATGTAACTATGGTCAGATTAAGAAACTGCTAATGCTACAAAATAGAGGCACGTGAATGGTTCTTTGTTTGTGGGTGTAGAAGAAATATTACAACAATACACAAATGCCTTAATTGGCTGACTGTAACTGCACAATATCGTGAAAATGCCTACAACTGTCACAGACTCAGTAAAGTTCTTCTATAAGATTTATCCAAATAAACTTTAATTCCAGTGGAAATATTACTGCATACATATCTGAAACCAAACAAATCAGGTTTTTGTAAAAAGAAAAAGACAACAATTAAAAGCTAAATACATTCTGAAGTGAACTAAGATCATGTAGCACAGGGTTTTTACCACACTGACAGCAGGACATACACTAGAGACGTGCTATTTCCTTCATCATTTTGTTCCTGCAGGAAGAAAAATGAATCTCACACACACACACGAAAAGCCACACTTGTGTGTCAAATCATTGCCGGGATTACAACCCAATTTCCGTCTAACAACCTGACACTTTACTGAGAACCGCCTGTGATAACAAACAGCGTTTGATAAAGAGCTGAGATGTGGGAGATGACAGATTGAAACATTGCCCTCTTGAGGACTGGGAGCTGTCAGGATGATGAGGGTGGCTACGGGGAGCACACACATCCTCGCATGTTCACACTGTTCTGTTCGTGTCTGAATACAGTATGTTCACATGCATGTGTGGGCATCAGTAAAACAGCCCTCGCCTGTCAGCACACTGTGGCAGCTTGTAGTGCTATAAAACAACCATACGAGTACCCCACGCAGATGATTTTATCCTACGGTTTTTGCCTTTTTTGGAGGACATTTTTCTCCCTTAACTAGGGAAGCAGACTGAGTAGCGATACCAGATAAACCTGGAACTTTCAGTTTGTACCAAGATGCAAGAAAACCTAATAAAAGATTCACAAATACGAGTAGTCCTAAAAAGCCATACACATAATGCTGTTCATTCAATTTGCCTGGAAAGCAATCAACAACATTTAAATAGCTATGCAATATAATTCTTTTCCACCATGAGCCCAAGATGGTAGCAGGCTAAATGTCAATAGATAGGCAGAGCTATGAGAATAAGCTTGTCAAGCTTCAGTCTAGTCTCAGTCAACAATAGCACACTCTTTCAAAGAGGATCCCAAAAGAACAGAAAGCCTTTAAAAACTTTTGCTCCCACATGTTGCATCTTCTTTGTAATAGAAAACACATCGTTGTTTACCAAGCAGGCATCCCAACAGTTTGTAGCACACACTCTCTGACAGCAGCTGGTTTGGCTTCACACCACTTTTTAGACGTCTTGACTTCACTTTTTTAACCATCCAACATGGAGTAAAACTAGGTGATTGTGAATAAACTGTTAACAACCAAGCATTAAAAACCTTACCAAAACCACGTTCCATCCTTTTAGATCTTTAGATTTTTAGAGACTTCAGTGCTAAAACGCTTCGATCTATAATTTAACCTGAGCGAGTACTTTGATGCTGCCACAGCTTACCTACAAACGTGATGACTGTAACTTAGCAGTATTCATTTTCTGTCACTGCACCAGCTTCTCTCACTTCTAATAACAAACCTGTCAAACTGTTAAAAACTACATTCTAATTGACGACTTTGGTTTGTGTCAGCTCTTGCTGTGGCTTCTGACACACACACACACACACTCATTTTCATATCTTGGGGTGGCTGTAGAGGTAGAGCAGGTCAGCCGCTGATCGGGAGGTTGGTGGTTCGATTCCTGGCTTCCCCAGTCTGCATGCCAAATATCCGTGGGCAAGATACTAACCCCATGTTGCTCTCCGATCTGTTGGAGTGTGAATGTGTGTGAATGTTAGATAGGCACTAACAGCTTAGAAAAAGTGCTGGTGTGATTGGGTGAATGAATTAGTTGTATAAGAACCAGTCCATTTACCATCTTAGTGAGGACATGTCACGAAAACTGGTTACATTTAACCCTCAGCCTAAACCTGACCGTAACCTAATTACAACCCTGACACTAACACCACATTTTGAGCCTCAGCATTTTGTCCCCATAAGAGACTGTTGGTCCCCACAAGTACAGTAGCATGCCAATTTTCTGTCCTCACAAAGATGTCTAAACATGTACACACACACAAACACCAAAAAAACAATGCATGAACAACATAGTCATCAGTGTCATTGTGGCACAGTGTCATAGATGTATTGAGGTGCCCTGTGGCTCTTTTCCCACCCCCCACACTAGTGCAAGCCTTTCTGGATCAGGAGACATTTAGTCAAATATGTCTTCTGTTGGACTGGGACATGCTGGGTTGACATGTTCATCACAGATAGTCACAACCAGTAACTACTGGTAACCGTTTTATTTATATCTATAATGCCAAATCAGCAGTTATCTCAAGCTGCTTCCACTGTAAGGTAAAGACGCTACAATAATACGCATAATAATGCAGAAAATCCTAAAGAAGCAGACAAGCATCTAGAATCATGCTTTGTTTAGATCCATCCTTTTACTCAGAAAGCAAAGAACCCTTCTTTGAAGCTTAACATCTGTTAGATACTAATCTCATTTAAGAGACAAGTTTTTTCTTGTAACGTGGCCTTGTGTTTGAAACCTTCAGGACATGATATGAGAGAAGCTGGGTTGCCAATCAGAGCCCTCGCCTGCTGACATTGACATTCTCCCACTGAGAAGTCCTGGCTCCCCGTGTTCGCTGACCTGCCTGGCATTTCACTCCTAAAGTGCTGCCAATGTCACTTTTTAGCATCACAACATCAGCCATCACCATTTGAGAGCTGCATCGATGCAGCTCTCAAAAGAACAGTTAAACCTTCTAATGCTGATATGAGTTTTTCTCTCTTCAGTTAATGATTACAGTCCATCTAATTAACTAATTATCTAATTAAAAACATTTTAAACATACTAATGCTGGGACAAGGTGGCACCAGGGTTACTACATGGTACATCTAAGTATGCACTTCTTTAATGTCCTAACAAAGGACTGTCCTTGAACTGCAATGGCTCACTAATTCTGTTTTCACGGGGTCACTTTTCCAGAGGTCCCTCTGTCTCCTTTGTCTCATATTTTAAAAAACATGTAACAGAGATTTGGGTAAAATATCAGGTGGTCTTGTTGAGAGTTTCATTTGTGTATTTCAGAAAATGTCCTCCAAAGAAACAGGTGAAAAAACTCCATAATGGTGGAATGTGGAGGACTATGAATTAAAGGGACTATATGTGGGAGTTATATTTTTGCTGCTGCAATTAATCTTTTCTAGAAAACATTTTAGAAAGTCATTGTAGTCTTTATGTGGAAAAAAAATGGTCTCAATGGTGTTTAAGGAGAAATGATGCTCACAGCACCTTTGGATTCCTTTTTCCTGCAGAAATTAGTTTGGAAAAGATGCTCATGTGACTTTCAGCATGTCATTAAAAGCACACGAGTCCCTTGAAATAAAGCCTGTTTTCCACAGGTGTCACAGTGTGTTCTTGAATAAGTCAGAAGTTGGAAATTAGGAGTTCCCAGTAGGATTTTTTTTGAACACCCCTTCATCAGATTTCCCACTCAGAAAGTTAGAGCAGACCAACATACCCCAAGTTAGTGATCCAAAATGGCGGCACTGAAGGTAAACAGCAGTAAAACTGTGAACATTTAATCTGTACTGCCACTGTTGTGTATTTTTAACACCGTAAATAAGCCATACACTGATCAGGCTCTTTACATGAATGCCTTTTTAAAGCACAAAAATGAGTATTATGCTGCATTGCTAGTGATACCTAAATCTTGCTAAGAAAACTAATCCTGTTTTCCTGGCTCCCTGGCTCCCACATCCGAGGTATCTGGAACGTGCATCAAGCCGGTGCTTTCTTGCTATGAGGCAACAGTACTAATAACTGCATGAGATATAGGTTACTTATAAAACATGAACCTGATTGAGGAGAAAACAAAGTCTTCCTGTTGCCACCAGAAAATGTTTACTTTGTAATGTGTATTGGGTTTAATAGGTCATTTACTTGCAAGAGAACGCAGGTCATATATTTTCCCTCGTCTCATTCAAGCAATCCTGTGCCAGCAGTAATCACTGCAGACTGCAGGCAGGCTGCCACACTAGGCTTGTCTAATAGGATCTGGAGGAGCAGCATTTGGGTGGCAGGCAGGCAGCCACTTGTTTAAAAAGAGACAAAAAACACAGCGTCCCTCAACACTGTCTGACTCCCTTTCTGACCCACATCCACAATGACACATCTGGCAGAGCCATTTCCACACATAGACACCGTGCTGCGGCCAAGTCGTTTTCAGAGCTCTTCTTCAAGACACAGATTCCATAATGTCAGTGACAAGTGGCAAGTCAAACCACAGTTGCGTGTTTACACAGCAGAATTATGTTGTGTCATTACTCTTTTATGGTGATGTCAGAATACTGACTGCAGCGAAAAGAGCACCAAAAACACACTGCCATATTAACTCTTTGTAATATTACACAATATAAATCTCGAGGTGACAGTGAATTGGTGCTTTATATACTGTTCTGAAAATGAAACTGAATTGAATTCATATGTGTAATTCTAGTTTAAGTTAAATTCTTTGGTTTATTGTTTCTCTAAGATTTCTGGTTTGAGTTTTATGTTTCTGGTTATGTTTTCTTGTATTTCATGTTCAAGTTTTGAACAGCAAAATAAAGCTGCCTTCTTTAGGTTATCCTTCCGTGTCTCGAGTCCTGCGTTTGGGTCCTACCTCCTGCCTGCCACACAGCTAA